ATACTTATATTAACCCATCATCTCTGAAAAGAAATTATATTTGCAGCATTTTTCTGTCTGGAATGAATGTGGAAAGGCAATTGAATCAAATTAGGGGAGTGATCTACACTGCAATACTCACATTGCTCTGCCACTTGTTTTCATTCACCCAACAGCTTCGACGTATTTTACACCTCATATCGTTGATGTAACATTTTCTGTACAGCTCTGATGGTTTTTATTTACTCCTAGCATCCTGTTTGAAAGCTTGGAAGAGGCCACATCCATGTGGAAGTGGCAGCATCCTCCAGGCCTGCCCCAGAGGAGCCCTGCCAAGGCCAGGAGCAGGAATTGAGCTCTCCCTGAACTCAGCATCTGCTCACACAGCCTCTCCTACAACATCAAATTGTAGCAGCCAGGGTGGGAAAGGAGGATGAGAGAAGAGGTGACAGGTATGTGGACAGCCAGTTCCAGGGCTGGTTCTAGTCTCTTTTCAGTCCAAGCTGGTGGTTCTGCTCTGACTCTCATTATTACCCCTGGCTGGAACACCTGGGAGGGGATTGCCCTTGAGAGTTTTGATTTCTTCAAAAAGGAAAAGGCTGAATGAAATGGTTCAAGGGATGGGCAACACCTTTCCACTTCATGCCTTTGCACTGCTGATACTGATGAAAACCTCCTGTGGAATGTCTTTCTGCTGCCTTTTCAAAGGAAATTCATTCCTAAATGGAAAGTTCACTCAGTGAGAAAATTCAGTCCGAAAATTTCCTGAGCAACAGTGACTGCATGAAGGCTGTGAGAAGCCATTTCTCTTACTCTTTCTTTTGCTATTGAGACAAAATAAGTCAAGACTTAGGGAGGAGAGGCAAAAAGCTTCAATAACACTTCCATAGTCATTAATACTAATTTTGCAGAAGAAGGATCAAAATGTAGTTTGTTTGGTAATTTAATCATGTATCCATTTCACTTAAGTTGCACAATAAATGATGTTTGGAGAGGCTGAAGCAATCCCTGGCAGAAGGAATTCAGACAGCCAGAGCAGTTCACAAAAGTGAAATAAATACTGAGCTGATGTAGGAAGAAGAAGGAAAAAATATTTCTAAAAAATGAAATGAAAGATTTCTCTTTCATACAGATTTCATGGAAATCATAAGCTTTTGTGAAAATGGATTCTGATGGGAAATCACCAGCCAGTTCCAACATTCATTGTTTACACATGAGTGTCCTCTTTATGAATATTTGGTAATTGCCAATCTCTTCCCATAGAATAACCATTTTTGGGTTTGAGCTGCTGAGCAACAACAGCCATTCTCAGACATGTCTTGGGGCACTCTGGAGCAGAGGCAAATTGCAATTTGATTCATTGTGACATGTCTGCAACAATTTGGGGTTTTCCATTAAATAAGGAGCTGATATGAATAATTCACACACCAATCCTGTGTGTGGCCTGGCACCTGGCAGTGGTGCCATCCAAGAAGGGCACTGAGGGGGCAATCTGCAGATTTAATAAGGGCACACTGTGCCCAGCTAAAGTTCAGGTGGTCAGAGCAGCAAAACAGTGAGGAGAGAGAAACAGAGGCTCCTGCCCCTGTTCTGCCAGAGCTGGGGGGGCTCCAGGTCAGGGCAGGGAGCACATCCCACCTTGATCCATGCCACGGGGCACTGCAGTTACAAGGAACTGATTTATTGCCTCTAACAGGAGCACTTATGCTGCCTCAGAGCCCAGGCACTCATGCTCTTGCTAGCCTGAAAAAAAACTGGAGATAATAATGAGGTTCCTGCAATTTGTCTCTGCTTTAGAGTTTGAAGTCCTGTATTTTCCTTCACTGGCTAATGAGGAGTGATTCTCTAAAAGAGTTCTCCCTCTCACAAGGGAATTAGGAGCTGAAAGATAGACACACCAAATGATCTGATGTAGAAATCATTCTCTGTAATCCCAGAGCTCTGAAAAGGAGGCTATGCTTATGTGTAATGAATTATTACCCTAAAAATCACAACTAGTTCTCACTTAAATGAAGAGCTTGGTCCTCTAATTACATACAGTACTCCTTGCATTATTTTCTGAAGAACCAGCAATGCTCTCTTCTGTACACAAGACCACAAAACAGAGGGAAACACAAACTCTAATCACTGTATGCCCACTGTGTATTTCCCCAAAGTGGGCATAAATTCAGATGAATTGCTTCCCATTTCATGTCATCTGTGTGGTCCTAAGGTAAGAGACAAGGAGCAGTTGTTTGGGCTAACAAGAGGTTTGAATACTGCACTTTAGTGATCCTAAGGTTTTTGGCATCTCTCTAAGATATATGGGAAAAGGTTACTAAAAGAAATAGGAAGAGAGAATCCCAGAACTGATCCTCTTCTCATCCCTGTTAGGAAAATCCTTTGGTGGGATTTGGGGAAGGACAATCCTTTGGGGACTCAGTCAAAATCCATTATGCCAAACTTTCCTCCTGCTCAGGAGCTGCAGAAAGGACTGGAAGAATCAGAGGACACAGCCAGTCCATACCAACAGAGGGGATTGCCCTGGGGGCACAGTGAGTTTATTTCTTGTCACTGGAGTTGGCAGGTATTTTCAGTCAGATGAAAGAAAAAAAAATTTTTTTTAATGACATTTAAGGCAGGGTAAGGAGAACCCAATGTCATTCTTTTTTTCTGAATTCTGTAAGGTCTCGTCTTGGATGGGTAGAATGGGAAATACCTCATTGTCTGACATGCCAGCTCAGGAAAAAATCCTACTTGAGAAATGACATTTAAGGTGGGGTAAGGAGAAGCCAATGTCATTCTTTTTTCTGAATTCTGTAAGGTCTCATCTTGGATGGGTAGAATGGGAATTACCTCATTGTCTGACATGCCAGCTCAGGAAAAAATCCTACTTGAGACAGTGGGAAGCTTCAATTTCATCTTTACCACCCTCAAAGGCTCCCTCTGATTAAAATCTGTTTAGGAGAACACAGGTAAGGGATAAGACAGTCCCCAAAACTTTCCCTTTTCTTCCCTTTTCTCCTATTGCCCTGAATACCTTCCACTTACTTTTTTTTTTTTTTTTTTTTTTTTTTGCCTTTTGTTTTCTGTGAATAGACAACTAAAAAAGGCTGGACTGATTTTGGAAAACTCTCTTTGCTGGAAATTGGTTTTGATTACCAATATTTTGGCAAGGATAAATCTCAGCAGAGCTGTGCCTTTTAGGCCAAAACTTAGAGTCAAAATCCACACTGGACCCCTACCAGTGCGCAGAAACTGCCACAAATAAATTCAAACATCAGCACAGAAAGCCATAGAAAAGTAAAAATTGCGTACTGTTAAATTATTTTTTTTTTCCATTTCTAGGAAATAGGCGGAGATCTCTTATTAAAAAAATATCAGAAATACTGGACTTGGAGTCCTGGTGATCTTGAAGGAATATAATCTAAACGTCAGTGAAATTAATGCAAAGGCTTCCAAAGACTCCCAGAGGGCTACAAGTCAGGCCTGTAAGATGGCTAATCCAATGTGATTGCTAAAACCAGTGATTCTGCAACAGCAAATCCAAAATCAAAATTAGGAACAAAGATTTAGAAGTTACTTCTTGAGTAACCTATTTTGTCCTCAAGAAATCCAAGAATAAAACTCCTTGAGCAATGTAGTTAAGCCAAATGAACAACTTTTTGAAAATCCTTGGCTATGCTGCTAAATATTTTTAATGGCTTGGTGTGTGCTTTTCATGAAATCCTCCTCACAGTGATTTGTGGAATGTTTACAGTCTTGCATAATATTCTCTTATCAGATAATTCACAGTATCCTCACTTAAACAAGCAGACACAAGATATTTAAACTTGACAAGTCAAAGAAAAGGAGTGCTGGCAGGTATGGAAAACACTGAACAGTGGGTGGGGATGCAATATTTTCTAAATAAAGCACTATGAGTGTAAATATCAGAGTGTAAGATGCAATTCAACAGCAAATTCATCTTGTTTTGCATTAAGGTTGGAAATGCACTGTCACACAATAAACTCTCTTCACACTGAGTAAAAGCAGGAACCATGTGGCAGCAACAGGACATCTTGAGAGACCAAACTTCAGAAAAATGTGATAGTGCTGATGCCTTTTTGGGGCTACCTAAAGCAGAGGCCAGACAAAATTAAGACAAAAAGCATTTCTGTGTATTGAAAGGCCTCCAGGTACATTTTGGGTAGATGAAGCTCCCACCAGGGGCTGCACCCAAAATGGACCATGGGTCACGGGTTTTCTTATAAGTTTGGACCATTTGAACATTGGGGGTTAATCTTCCAATTACAGCTTCAGGTAATGAAGTTATCTAGCCCCAGTTTGCTCCCCCAACTCACTTTTGTTTACATCTCTCAGGGCCTGAGACAGAAAGGTTGTGCTTGATTGCCAAGCCTCGAGAGGAATTGTTGTGTCTGACCAAAATGTGGAGACAGCAGCTAATACTCTGTATGGAGTTTAGAGCTGTGCACTAAAGAATTGCAGGATTACAGATACATGATAAAAACATACAAGCTAAAATCCTAAGGCATCAGTGCAACCTGAGTGATGGAATTCTTTGCTTCCGTGCTCTATTCTGTCACTGGGGCTGCTGTGGTGACACTGCCAAGCACCTCTCGTTCCTCAAGCCCCTCAGATGTGACTGCTGTGATCTTCACTCAGTGCTGCCTGCCTCCAAGCCCTGAGGAGCAGCACGTTCCTAGCCCCAGTTCCTTTGGGATCAGGCTGTCCTGGAGCTCCGGGGGACAAATTGCAGCAGCTGTGGCTGCAGCAGCTGCAGGGACACGTGTGTGCTCTGTGTGTGTGTGAGAGTGTGTGGCTGGAGGGCTTCTCTCTTGGAAATTCTGGGATTAATGACACATTAAGCCCTCTCCAAGAGACTGGATTGAAAAGAACGAAAGAAAGGCGGGGGAGGGAAGAAAAAAAAAAAAACAAACCAAAAAAAATTGAAACAGGCAGGCGGGCTGATGGCTTTTCCTGCAAAGTTCAGGACTTCAAAAAGTTAACTTGTAAGCAACTGCAGATGCAGGGATAAAAGCTGTCTTGGACACTATGCAGCAGCCCTTTCCTTTCCATCAGCATCTCCAGCTTGTTGCCTACCTCTGCTGGATTCCCTTGCTGGCCATTAGCGCTGAGTCAGCGGCATTAGGTAAGGATTTTGTGCTTTTTAATTACTTGATGGTCGTTTGGGGGATAGAGTTCACGTGTCTTTGAAACTGAGATGATCTTGTTTACATTTACTTTTGAACGTGGGTTGGAGTGACACAGGGCTATTATTAGAGAGTCTCTGAAATAGGATGGAAGTACGGTTAAAATAAACAACTAAAGTAATGAAGAAGGTCACAGTGAAAGCCAAGCACACGATGTATATTGATTATTACAGGACATTCCCTTTCCTTTGCTACATTTTTTTAACAGAAAAAAAAAATTTAAACCTGTGAAAATTCTTACTTCCTACTAGAAAAAAAAAAAAAGTAAAATAATTTGAGTATACATAACATTTCCCCATAAATGGAATAAATGAAACAAACCATAAAAGAGAAAAAAAAGGCTTTAAAATAACATTCTATTCCTCTAGGAAAGAATTATATACACCATATATCAGAGGAACATTATAAATTAGTTAATTACATATATAATAATCATACACAGCTCTACAGCCTCTGGCAATAAAAAGTTCTTGAGTAATTTCTCTACTACTGTACACATTAAATGTAAGTCTTGTTTCACTCTGGCAGAGAGTTTGAAGGGGACATAGATTTCACATATGTGGCTTGTTTATACAGCTTTATTAATTGAACACAAAAATACATTGAGAATCATGTTAGACATTATTCAGCTAGTGAAAACTGAGTTAATAAAAGCAACTGAGAAAATCAAAAAGCGTAGTGCTGTGAGCGATTATGGATTCAGCTTTGGCAAACCCAGCAGAGGCACTCCCCCTTAAAGGAAATGTGTTGTAATATTTTACAATATTTAATTCCAGTAGAGTCCCAACTGGTCCTAACAGTGACTGTCAGCCAGCGCTCATTAGCTCCATGAAGATAAAACAATTTGGAGCTCTCCTCGCTTGAATATCAAGGGGTCACCCGGAAAGTTCTGCAGGACTAAACTCAAAGCAAATGACCTTATCGCCTTTATCTTCAAACAATGCCTTTAATTTCTCAAACCTTTTGAAGGGTTGCCAGTTTTATGGAGTGTAGCAGCCACTTATCTGATGGAACAGGCTTTTCATCAGGGGGAAACGACCTTTTAACTCCTACTAACTAAGTAACTGTATTTGCCACTGTATTTTTCCTACTGCAGGTAATATGTATGGACATATTTGTTAAACTGGGAACGCAAAAGAATTAAGTATTGTGCTCTTAGGTGATGCAGAAGGATTCATCAGGCCTTTTGTGGGTTTCTTGTCCATAAAGTTGACTTGAAGTAAATGAAACTGCTTAAAAAACTTTACATTCTGACAGATTGGGTTGTGACATTACAAGGATATTAACAGAGCCATATGCTGTTTACTTTTGTACTCTAATAAACCTACTAGTCCCATAAGAATTTAAGGGTGAATAAGAGATCTGACCAAAGAACTTTTTGATGCTTTGTTAAAAAAAAAAAAGTAATTTAAAGATTAAAGAACTTTATAATCATCTGCATTCTTATTTTAGGTAATGAAGCTCCCTGTGACTGAGGGAATTCTCAGTGTTTGGGGTTTTTACATTAAATCCCCTGACTGAGAAATAGAAAAAAGTTTACCAACAATACCCATAGCTGCTCTCTATTACAGGACTAAGCATCAGGGACAAAAGCAACCCAGTGAATCATAGATGTGGGAGGGCTGACACAGCACAGCTTGTCAGAGTTTTCTGAGATGAAATTCTGTAAATAAGTCAGTCAAGAGAAAAAGGAAATAGATTTTTTACAGTGGTATCTTACAGAAAAACATTTATCTTAAAAGAGTTGCTTGTATCACCAGTGAAAAGGAATTTCTCTCCATCCCCTCTGGAGCCTTTTCATAATGTACAACTGAGAAAGTTTTAATTTGGATATGAGTTTCCTGCAAAGGTACCCTTGAAGCGCCCAAAACCCACTGGGGCTTCCCTGCAAGGTGTTGCATATGTAGTAAACTCAGCTACAATTAATTGTTTGCAAGTTTACTCCTGTGGGTTTCCCTCAACTCTGAAACACACAAGAAGAAATTTGAGCATATCCAGAGGTGGAGGAAGAGAAGAGAGAGGATGGTGTCAGGGGAAGGTGAGGTGCCTACAGCCAGCATGGAAAGATGGTGTGTTTCCAGCGACCCAAGTGGTCTAATTTGATTTAAGAAAGTAAATGGAAATAGTCAAAATATGGAAAGTAGTCAAAATGGAAAGAGGCAAAAACCACTCAGTGTATCTTGCAATTACATGAGTCCTGGTCTTGTTTTGTACAGGAGTGAAATGAAAATCAGAGTATCTAATTTGCTTTGTGTTCAAACCAAAAGCAACCCATGATTTCACTGTCAGCTTCTGCTGCAAAACCTGAGTGCCATTGTCTGTCCATCCTGGACACCAAAATCTGCTGGAGCTGAGAAGGCATTTCCACATGAGTGAACATTTCAAACAGAACTAACCAAACTATTCAGAATTTTTGCCACCTGCTTCAAGCATCAGCCACAGGTGACAAACTGTCCCATCCCTTGGTCAGGCTCAAACATTCCACACAGATCTCCAGCAACACCCTGGAGCCCCAGGGCTTCTTCCACCCTTGGGGTCCCTGAGCAAAGAGGGGTCTGACCACCCCAGGGATCCCCAGGATCTGTAATCCCTGGAACAGCTTCCAGGGATCAAGCTCTCAGGCCATGAGTGGGTTTGGTCAGACCATTCCTGTGCCTCTGGAAATAGCCCTGGGATTAATCTTGCTCCATGGCTTTGCTCTGGGGAAAGCACAGCAGACATTCACAAGAAAACAATAACCCACTGAAAGCTTTCCTGTGGAAGTAGAGCCAAGACTCCTGGCCATGCCAAAGGAATTGTAACAACTCCTAAAGGGAGAGGAACAACCTTTACCGTATGTTTCTCTCCCAACATTATTTTTAACCATCAAAAGTAGTTTACAGGCTAATATTTTATTTCCCTCTCATTACATTTTGTCAATATCAAATACCACTATAGCCTCACTGTCTGGAATTATCACAGAGTCCCAGAACAGTTTGGTTTGAAAGGGACCTAAAAGACCACCTAGTTTCAACTCTCCTGCCAAGGGCAGGGTTGCCACCCACCAGACCAGGCCACTGGCCCAAATTAAACCAGTTTGTATTTTTTAAATTAAGATAGAAATCTGAATTCATCTGATTTTGTGCTTTCAAAGGGAAGCAGGGGCTGTACACTGATTTCTCCTTGCTGATAACTTTTTTGTTCCACTCCTTTTTACCTGAAGGACAAGGGCTGTGCCACTTCAGGGAAAGTTAATTCATAAGGAAGGCAGAATTGGGCACAGTTGCAGTCTAGGGGTGAGGGAACCTCTGTCTTCTTCATTTTTTGACTCTCCTGACCTGTACTGGTGTGCCACTATTAGATTTTAGAACTTTGAAATTTTCAGTGAAATCATTTTTTGCTCATGCATATGCTTTTCAATCTTCTGATGAAAGTTAATGATTAAATTAATTAATTAAAATCAAAATTATACAGACTTAAAGATAAGTTTGGTGTGAGAGGGCTGCCTTTCAGCTGCATCTCCCAAGGATTTGCCTATTTCCCATTATCCTGCCAAACGTGTAAGCTGTTTAAACCCCTTAGCAGCTATTTACTACTCTGCACTGTGCTAAAATTGAGAATCAATTTATTAGACACTGCTCATAACAGTACAGGACATTCACGGCCAAAATGTTTCCCTTAATGGTCCAGTTCTTCCAAGTTATTTTGTCTCAGAATGCCAAACCTGAAGAAGCACTGTGCACATCCAACTTCCCTGGCAATCGATAGGAGCCGCGAGGCGTCGAGACAAATCAGTGTTTGCTCCTGACCTGACAAGACAGATCACTGCAGAGAGGGAGCAACATGCCTCTGCCTTACTGATGGCACGGGCACCTGGAGTGCCTCAAGGTCACCAGGAAAACCCTCTGGTGAGGCTGAGATGGCTCCCAGGAGTCACAACCCAGCCCCATCAGCTGTGGCGCAGCTCTGAACTGGCACAACAGCCAATGCAATAAATTTGAGGGCGATGAAAACGCTCAGCACCTCACCATCCTCCCTGTAAAGCCTAAGTCAAATGGCCACACACACACTCAAGGGGACACAAAGTATTTCTGGTAGGCTTTAGTCTGCTTAACAGGTTTTAGGTGGCCAGTACTTGAAATTCCCGCCAATTTCCCATTGTTTTCCATGAGAAATGATCCATTGACCTTCCAAAATGCTGCAAGTTCTTTATCATATAAATATAGTAGGAGAACAGAAGGAGAAGTTAATCTTGAATTAGCTTCATTAGAGACAGAATTTCTTTTCCAGTTGTTCCTACTTCTTCCTAGACCACTTCTGTAGCCCATTAAAATTATTTGGGCTTTGGAAACGGCTCTTTCTTCCAAATACATTTCCTCCCCTATTTTTTTGTGCCATAGTTTTGCTGCCTCAAAAGGCTGGGAACATTGTGGAAATACCATTTTGTTGATTTTGGACTGCATCTCTTTGAATTTTTTTGCTGGGATAAGTCCTCAAGGCAGCCAGATTACTGATTTTGTCTAAAACTTTGTTTCCCTGGAAGATTCATACTGGCTTTTTGGTGCTTACTACCTGAAGTGTCTTGTCACCTAACAGATGGAAGTTTGGTGTTGGACATTGCCAGTCCACTGCAGAAATGGATATGGTCTTTAACATGGTTTCCAGCACGTTGCTTGTTTAATGATTTTTAAGTTTTTTTTCAAAATAGTATGTTTTACCTTTAGTTATGACCTTTTTTGATGTCATTGTGGCAGCTACATTATGTGTTTTGCCTCAGGTAGAGATTATTTATGGTAAAATCTGAAAGAAAACATAGATTAGATTGAAGAATGTTTTTATCTGTCTCTGAAACAGCAATAAAGCCATGTGCTAGTGCAGGCAATTGTTTGTACAGCTTTTCTGGGAAGAGTTTGGTATGTTAAGCTCTTAGGAGACTTACTTAATGAGAGTATGTACTCAT